TCATTTAACATAGCTATTCTTTCTTTCTATGACCAAAAAGTAGCATCAAGCCATCAGATATAATATCTTCATCTTTGCTATTTTTATATTCAGAAATTAATTGATTGTGGGGTTTACTTTCTTGCATTCATTTTTTTGGCTCCCAAAAGCATCTAAGACTTCCAGGAGCCTTCTTGTGTTCTCAAGTATTTTTGTATCTTCAGTCTTTTAGGCTGTTTATGAACTCATTTTAAAAAAAAGTAAACTAAAATCTCAGTATACTGCTTACATAAATAGGAGAAGTTCTTGATCCATTTATATGAAATGGCATCACAGCAAAACTCATCCCAAACTGTTCTTATTGTCGTTGCATCCATCACAAATCTCACAAACTCATGATATTGGAAAGATTCATAATACATGGAGAGACTTATGTGTTAAGTAAGCAGACTGACAAAAGTTTACATACCACATCTGACCATGGACCACCAAAGAGAGTCAGTAAGAAGCTCTAAAGGGAGTGGTGTCTGTGTGTTGAAACAATTCCTTCCCACCATGTAGGGCCCCTCTTGCACAGTGCGTAGATGAGTTGGCAGCATTTTAGGTATCTAAAATCACTTCAACTGTAAAAACTTTGGTATCTATATCGCCTGAGATACCAAAATGAATTAGTCAAAATTTTCTAGAGCACAGTTTTCTTGATCTTGGCCAGCTAAACAGGAAGTATATCACTCTTTGGATTTGAGGTTTTAGATTTTTTTTAACAGGGCTGGCCATTTGCCTTCCTTTGAATAGTGAGCTAAAGAGAGACTTCAAGGTGTTTGAAGTTTACTCCCAGAGATCCATCCAGACCTTTCAACATGTCCAAGTGCTTTGGAAAGGAAAGGAAAGGATTGCATCAATATTTGAAGGTTAGAATACGTATGAGTCCCACATATAACACTTGGCAGGGTGTTGGAATGAGATGGAAGGGAAATCACCAGCTCCCTGTCCATTTATTCCATCTATTTATTTGCCTGTATGAAGCCAGCAAATATTAGTTATTCAAACTGGTGTCTTTTTTTGATAAATGTGCTGGTTTGGCCTTGGTTGGCTGGGGGGCACTTCATCTTGTAGCCATTCAAGGTGACTCTTCTCTGTCTCCTCACTGACCAGAGAGCTGAGTGGAGCCAACATTAGAAAACAGGCTTGGCCAAAAGGGATTTGCCTGTGGCAGCATTGCCAGAGCCCTGAAAGTTGGTCTTGCTCTTGCTCTAACTGGGCCACAGCAGCAATCTCCTTTCCCACATTCAGTGCCACCAGCTCCACCTCTCACTGATAGGGCAATGAGTCCTGTCAGTGTTTTTGGGACTTTCAAATTCAGGTCTGCCTACACTGCCATGAGCCCTGGGCCTGCTCCAAATTTGTTCATTTGTGTATGAACAAGTATTTCCCTCCACCCCATTTCCCCTGTTTTTTACAGCAACAGTCCCAGAGCACAGGCCAGCACAAATCATTGTATCATCAGTTCTGACCCCAGAAATAATATAGGTTACAGTTTGCTCACCCATTTGCTTTTCTTGCCTAATGTTTGACCTTTATCAGTTTCTTAAGCTACCAGAGTTGTTAAATCATTATTACATCAGGCAACAGGTAGGAACTTTGCAGATGGAGTGTAGTAAATTAAGTTTTGCTAATGAAGCATTCCAGTAGCAACATGTTCTTTGTTCTCCCTTTCTTCAAAGAGCATGAAGTTAGTCAGTGAGCTTTGACTGTATATTTTGTTAGTATGTCACAACCTCAGTGTCCTTTTAATTGTGTAAGAGCCTTAAAAGGTGTGTTATTTAGATTCAGTGCTGAATTTGAAGGAAGCATGAAGTGCTTTTCTGAACTTTAGCACTGTCCTTTTTCACACCTAACAAAGGCAAAGCTATTAGGAGACAGCTCTCCTGGAGTGACCCAACGTACAAAGAAGTGTTAAGAAAAAAGGACACTTTCCCTGTAGGCAGAGCTATCATAGCAGTTCTGATGGCAGAGCATCACTGTTTCTTTTTCTGTTCACATTTCAAATACATCTGTCACTGTAGTATCTAGGAATCAGTAGGAGAACTTGGAGGACTGAGATTAAAGAAACTGATCTGATCTGAGTTAAATACTGCCTGCATTAATGGTCATGCAATTTTTGGCCCAGGCATTTGCCAGGAAGAAGGGACAAGGGTACATTTCAGTATTTTTTTATAAAAAAAAATGTGAAGAAGGTACAGTAGGAAAATATAGTCACATAAATTTGGTTGTTTTCAAATTATCTGTGTATTTAAATCCATAGCTAAAAACATCTCAAGAAACAAAGTAACAGAATATCATTAGTACTTCAGTAATTTTTGGTATCAATCAGGGAAGAGGATCTTAAACCTTGAGCTTCCGTCGCACACTTATTAGAGGATTCTTAATACATCTTGTGGTTCCAAGAGATATCCCAGAAGGAGAGAGATTCTTGAACTCAGAATAAGTTTACAGATATTTAAAATTGGTTAAATTACAAGTGTGCTCTAAAGTCAGAACACAAGCAATATCAGCATCTGACCAAGCTGTAGTCATTTGAGTGTCTGATGTTCAAGTTGCAAATAGCTGGATACTGTGCTAGAGAAAATCAGATTTTCAGTCCTCTCTTCTCACTCTCCAGATTGGTGTCTAAATCTGGGAGTTACTCCCACACCTTACATACAGAGTCAGCCTGGGATGGGGATGCTTATTAAAGGGAAAGTTGTTCTGCTGTAGATCATTCATATCCTTGGTACTGCCCAGATGTTAAACATTAAAGAAAGTGAATTACACTGTGTGTTTACTGTCTTGTTCAGTGTATCCACCATAAATGAAAGAGAGCTAGTAACAAGCCTTAGAATTGTAATATTCTCTCTATCTGTGTATGACTGATACTGTATGAGGAAGAGAAATGCAAGCCTTGGTCCTCAAGATCCCCTTTCCTATTTGCCAAGAAGAAATGTTAGATTTGTTTTAATGAAATATAAGCTAAACAAAGCTTTGCCCAGAAGATGATTATTTACTAAATAAATTCTAAAGCAGAAGAATAGAACAAATATGACTCACATAGAGCAAACTTAAATCCTACACTGGGATAAACATTTCAAAACTAAACTCCACTTCAGAAAAAAACAACATGAGTTTGTAGGAGCCTTAGTTGCACTGAGAATTTGTGCTTTTAAATCTCTCAGAGGTTTAAAGATGTACTCTAGGTGAAAGAAATGAGCAAGAAACAAGCTACAGAATAAATCTAAAATACAGTCTGCATGTAGGAGTTTCTCTTCTCCTGACAAACAGAATTGCAGTGAAGTCATAGGTATGTGGGAAGACTGAAGAGTCTTATACCACAGCAGTGGCTCCCAACTGATGAGCAAAGTAGCCACTGTCACTTAACAGACTGAGTAGGTAATGCCAAGGAAGCTCAGTGGAAAGGGAGGCAAAATGTGTCAAGAGAGAAGGAGGGGAAAAAATCCAAACACAAAACCCCAAATGAAACCATTCTGCTAAGCCAGCTTGAAGGTGGCTAGTGTCTATGCAAAATGTGGGATCTTGGAAAGGTCTGTTATTAACCAGTGAAAATGTAGAGTGCATGGAATAAAATGAATTAGTTGTTGCAAAGCATCTAGACTTTCTGGGAACTGAGCCAGTAGGAACAGCAAATGATCAAACAAAAATAATGCTGAGTTCTAGGGGGAAAATGTGAGTGTTTCTGTCTTACAGCATTTTCACGTAGCTCAGACAGCAACAAACAAGATGCAGAGCAATTGGTTATAAATGCACTGTAATGATTTATTTGCTTAAGCTGGGAGGTGGTGGAAACTGGTGGAATGTACCTCCATCCTTTGAGGGAGGAAATTTTGTGTGCTGGTTTCACTTCTGCTGTAGCCCTGCTGTGGGAAAAGGGACCCTTCTTTTGAAGGCGTCAGTGAAATAAAACCTTGAGGTGCAGGAACATCATCTTCCCTTTGCTGGCATCAGTCTGCAATATCTTACTCTTTAAAGTGTCACTGACTCATTGAAATGTATTTTGTACACCCCCTCATCTTAGTCTTATAGCTCACATCAGTAGATTTCCTGGGTTTAGGTTGAATTATGGCTCTCTGGGCTTCTGGAGGATCTCATTTTCAAGGAATTAGAGCTTGTCTCCAAAGCCTCAACCTTTCTTCTTGCAAACCAAAGTTCATCCCATTGGGTCGTACGAAGAGCAGGGAGTGCATGGCAGCTCCCAATGGTGGGACCATTGATGAGGCTGTGTCCTGTCAGAGGAGTCTCACCAAATTATACAGCTCCAGCTGATCCCGTGGTGCTGGACAGCAGGTCACAACATTTTGCAGGGCCCACAGTAGAGCTATGGAGGTGAACAAGGTGGGGGGGAGCAGTTCTGTGCCATTGTTCTACAGCTTAAGTTCGGTGTTTTTGGGGTCCCCCACACTAAGACCGAGATAATAGCTCCACCTATTTAAAAGAAACAAAGCCCAAACCTCAGTGAGCAGTGTAAAAATGGTGGCTGCTCATACAGTGATTTTCCAGCTGCTTTGGGGATAATTGGACATGGAAATGTCTCCTTAATTTTGATGGGATTATACAGTAATTGCTTGACTCATTAATAACTTCAGTGCTCTGTCCCACTGACCCTAACAAGGTATGTTTGGAAGGAGGAAAGATACAAAGGAAAACTGCTTTCAACATCCTTTCCACAGACTGGAAGATATTTGTTAATACACTTTAAACGTCCTTTCCTTTCCTGGCACTGCAGGTCCATAGGTCTAGCTATCTGATTCCTCACCTAGCCAGTGTTGAAATGTTACAGGTACCACAGTAAAAAGGGTATATATTTACCTAAGATAATATATTAATTCAAGGTTCTATTAGACCTCTATTTTTAAGACATGCCTTATACTCATTAATTTAATGTTAATTTGCATTTAGCAGCCCTAATGACTATATAGGTCAAGAAAACTAAAATATCTTTATTCTCTGGGGTTTTCTTATCTCCTTAGAGTACGCTCGATTTGAGGCAAAAATCCATGACCTGCGTGAGCAGATGATGAATCACAGCATGAGTTCTGGGTCTGGCTCCCTGAGGACTAATCAGAAGAGGTCACTGTATGTCAGGTAAGCAGGAAGAGCCTTCTCCTGGGAGTATGTCAGCAGCTACTTTGTCTGTTCCTGATGTGTGTTGCTGGTTTGGCATGGTGGGGAAGAAGGCTGAGGAACTGCCTTTAAATGAGCTGAGACATGCATTCATCTTACAAGCACAGTATCATTAATGAGAATACTGGGTAGAAGCCCTATTTGCCCTATTTGACCATTTCAAGTAATATGCAAAGGGCATTACACTTTTATAGTGATTTGGGTTTATGAGATGAACATTTCTTAGCTCTGCCAATATCTGAGATGGATACTGTGGAGTAATGACACAATGTGTTTCTGTGTGAGGTCTTGCCCAGACATGGAACGAGTGTTCTCAGGAAGAGCAGCCTTTTGCCAAAACCTTTTCCTTGCAAAACACAAACTCATATATGCTATTCTAAATGCCTGGCAATCTGCTACCATCCACTCACATATGTTTACTCTTCTATCAGTCTATGCTGCAAAGAATTTGCCATCAACATAGCAAGATCACATGTGCAGATGAGATGGTAAACAAGCTGCTAGCCATAAACAAGCTTAAATGGGGTGGTGAATAACAGAGGAATTACCTTTGTCACTTATTGGGAGCAGTGGTTGTAGTTTCACCTTGACTATACAAGTCTGTTGCCCCAGCAAAATTCTTGCTGTCACTCTCACCTTTTGAGACTCATGGAGACTATGGCACTCTGTCAAGTATTTTAATAATCTTAATAATTATGCTTCTCTAGGCTTTCATTTTCATTCTCCCCTTTGTCCCCTCTATCCTCCCCATGCTCAGCATATAATTTGAAATTCCTGACAATCATGAAGTAGAGGGAAGCAATTTGTCAGCCTCTAGGCAGTGATAATTATTCACAGGGGAGCTAATTCAGGTGATAACTTTGCAGAGATCCAATTAAGGCTAAATTCTACATTTTGTCATTATGCTCTCAGCATGAAGGGGTAAGGTAGCAGAGAAGGAAGGGAAAACTTTAATGTCAGCATGAAGGGTCTTGTTCTAATGGGCAACAACCGCATGAAGCACTAATTGGTACTGCTGTCAGAAAGAGCAATGACTGAAGAAAGACAGATCACTCTTACCAGTGATGTTGCTCTTGGGTAAGGTCAGATTGGAAGTGTTGAGGTTTTCAAGGCATCTCTAACCTTCTCTGACCTGAAGCAGATTTTTTCAGACCAAAGTGACTTTTTTGTCAAGAGCTTTGGTCAGCTCCCCAGATTTGCATTTTATGAATAGCTGCAATTGTGTGTGTAAGGATGGATAGGTCCAAGCTTCCTTTATTGAGATAAGCCAGGAACCCAAAATGTAGGGAGTAATTGTGTGAGAAGCCCAAGCCAGCAACTGCAGGTTAATTGAGGTGTAAAGAAAAAGCTAACACCAGGGTCTTGAACACCTTACTGCAGTTTGAACACCAACAAAGGTTGATCCCCCCCTGTATGAGCATTGACCTGGGAAGATCTGCTGCGAACTGAGGCTTATTAGCTTGCACTCTGAGCCAGGCTGAGATATCTGTGCTGCATCTGGACAAGCCTAGCTCTTCTGTATAGTATTGCTCTGTGTGCACTGATGAGCCCAGTTTTCTGCTAGTTCATGAATTCTGGCTGTGAGCTCTCACTAAGCTGCTATGCCCTGGTGCTTCACTGCAGGAGCCTTTGATGTCTTAGCTGCTTATCTAAATGGCACTTCTCAAACCACAAATGCAAAACCTGTTCTTTTATTCCACATCCATTCCAACAAATGCCCCAAACCTCTGAAGCAGAAAGCCACCAAAGCCTCGGTCACTTTTGTTAGCATTTACTTTTTTCTCTCAAACACACACAATTGGCTGTGTCCATGTCTGAGCAGCCTGTTTGAGAGGCTCTGTATCTCACATATTACTAGAACGTGTTTGTAGTGCAGTAGCACCTGAAGCCTTGTGCCTGTCACTGTCAGTTCAATTCACACACACTAATTACAAAGGTAGCTTACATCTGTGTTAGGCACTCAGGAAAAATAATTGTGGGCTCAGAAATGTACTTGTTTTCAGAGATGAAAATTTTCTCTTTGTGAACACTCTTTAGAGGCAGGGCCCATGTAAAAAGCTAGAATCTAGCATTTGGTTTCTATTCTTACAATTCAGGACATTTCTGTTTCAATGGATTCTTTTAGTCAGCATGTGCAAGAGAGCTACAGGCAAATGACCATATGTTGTTGTAAATCTCTAGCTGTAATGCCAAATTTATGATTCAAGTTTGCTGTTTTCCTTTCTTTGGGATGTAGTGATTTTGCTGTCCTTCATTGTGTATGGCAAGTATGGTTATTTTTTTACCAGAAAGCTGAATTGAAGCAAATCACTATATTCTAGGCAACACAAGGAAATAAATTAACATCCAGATAGGTTGTAATAGTTGAAAATAAGTGTCGCTACCTGCTCATAGAAAAACCAGAGGGTGAAAGAAAGTAAAGCTACAGTTATGCCAATGGATATGAGGTTTACTGGATGCAGGCTTTTCTTCTTATACCTTACCGTCTATGATTTCCCCATCCAGCCCCTACTAAAAAAGCACAGCACTGAGATATGTGAAATAAGCTATATTCAATTATGTGAGACAAAATGTTATGTAGGGTTAAAGGGTTGAATGTAGGTGGCTAAAAGCAATTAAAAGTCTCACTTCAGGAGTTTAAACAACACAGGAAGGAAATCATAATTCCTTGTTTAGAGAAATTGTGTGGCTCTTTGACTAGATCTTTTATCTGTACATAACTCTGGTGTTTCAGATTTGTATTAGTTTTGTCTTTCTTTATTCCAGTCTGTCTCTCTGACACCTCCTGGAATATTTCCCATGAATTTCCTGATTTTTTTTCTTTTTTTTTCAGTACTACCTGTTGTTTTTTTATCACAGACCCTTATCTCTGTTTGGGATGTCATCAGAGAGTCTACAACACTAAACGGGAGGATAAAGCAGCAGGAAATGCTTTTAGTCCTTTTGGGAGCTCACAACTTCTTTGTCACTAAATGTGTGGAGGAAAAGAAATACAGAAAGAAATGCATTAAGTCAGAGAATGGATAGGAAGCATAGAAAATGTTATTCATGCTTTATTTGGTGGTGAAAGTGAAAGAATTTAAATTATTTAGTTCACTAACTGCAATAATAGGCTAAAAAAGTCTGCTGTTATCATTTTTAAGTCATTGGAATTCACTCATCAGCTCATGATCAACAAGGAGAATAAGCAAGCCCATCACCAGCTAAACATTGTGCTATATACATGAATAGCAGGGTTTTATGCAAATTCATGTCTTCGTTTTTGTCTTTTTAGTTCAAGGTTTTAAAATCTGTTCCTGTAAGATTATATATTTGTTTGTCTTGAAATAAATACATTCTTTGCTTTGTCCTTCTAGGTCCATATCAGTAGTCAGATTTCTAGGTTACCTATGATTACTGTTGCTACTCTTAGGAAATGCCAGATCATGTTATTTAACTCACAGACTATGGAACTTGACAGCCTTTTGAATAGTTAAGTATCAGAGAAGTACAGTCCTTTAAAAAGTTTGGTAAATTGAAGTCACTGAAATTTTAACTTCCAAACTTTGGAAGTTTGGAAGAGCTTAAGTAGTTTTCCTGTTGTTTTACTAGATTATTCCTGAGCTTTAAGTACTTGTGTTAGATTTTTGAGGATAAGAGTAGATGCTTTAGTAATTGCTACTACACATGCAAAGAAAAGGTTTTCAGGAATTATCTGGCACCCAAAACTGCTGTCTTAGTGTCTGGTTTTCGTTTACAGATGAAAAGTAGTAAGATACACTTAGCATAAACAGTCACTGCAACATTTAAGCTTTATTCAAGCTAGAAAACTTCTGAAATAATGTTTATATTTAAAAATTCCAGTTGTCTAAAGCCACAACCAGGCACTCCAGATACTGGAGGTGTATCGCTCTGCAGAAATAACTAAAGCTTCACACCCCTCCAACCCTTTCACTGCCACTTCTCTGTTTAAAGTCTGTTTAGTACTGTCAGTGACCAAACATGATTTCACCTCATCAGGGCTCCTTGTTGCCATGTATGAAAGGTTGAGCTTACTGAAATGCAGCTGTTTCAACTTCTGCACTACTTTCAAATATATCAGTACCAAGGTGAATGGTACTGTAGTACTGTAGTTGGCTGTAAAGGTGGGCATGGAAATCAGGGCTGAGACAGGACTGGATCCAGCTGCAGTGTTAGAAGAAGTGGTTCTGCAGCCGCCTCTCCACTGTGCATGGAAAAGCATTACAGTGGAAAGTAAACCCAAGGGCACTTCCCAAGAAGATGTGTGCTATCAACCTTTTATTTCCAGTCCATGTTGCACTAGTTATAAAAAATGTGCACAGTGCAAAGAGGTGCCTCTTAGTCCACTACATTTATCTCTTCTTCTAACTGGAATTATTTCTAAGCATTTCATAGTTGTGTTATATATGAGCCATACAAACATGTAGTATTATGTGTTAAAAATGTGTGTGTTCTGGTTCATTTTTTATTGAGCCATGAGGAAGAATTTGCCAAGTTGCCTTCACAACTTAGCTCAGCAAAAATGAAGTCAGAGCTGAGGTACTTTGGGTGGTTTACTCTCATTGTTAGCACAATGGATTCTCCATTAGGTATTAGACACCTTTACACAAATTTCCTGACCTTAGAAATTAGCTTGTTGCCATATCATATAATCATAGATGGTTTGTGTTAGAAGAGACCTTAAAGATCATCTGGTTTCAAACCTCTGCCACGGGCAGGAACATCTTCCACTAGTAAGACTTTGATTTTCAACAGATCAGAGAAATTCTCTGTTTTGAAGTTTTCAGAGCTACAATTGAAATTAATTTGAGGCAGTTTGTGAAGATGGAGTCTGGTATCCAGGGCTTTTTCCATGCAATGTCTGTTACAACCACTCTCAGCCTCCCTGTCTTCTTTGAGGCAGTGAACCCCTTCAGCCAAGTGAATATCAGGTCAGGGCTGCATGGGCAGAATTCTCCTGT